GTACAAGACGAAAAGGTGATTTAAGTTCTCCCAGGATCAGAAAACTTGTACGAGAAAAGTAAGAACAGCTTTCCCGTTAAGCGGGGACCACCCACGTGAGTTTTCCATTTTCTGCATCGCTGCACCAAGATTCTTAAATAAACAGTATACAGGGTAAGCCAAAAGTATGTTTACAAACTCCCTGTGCGTGTTCCAGGATTAAAAATAAGAAATAATATTCCTATGAACATTGGATCGCAAATGTTTCATTTTCGAAATAATAGCCAAAAATAAGTTTCAATCAATTGACTTTATATCAAAGTGAATCCAGCTTCCAGCAAAGATTTTCAGTAAACGTTTGGGCAGGAATTGTTGGCGACGTGCTTATTGGTCCACACATGCTTCCATCGCGTCTAAGAGGACCTTCATATCGGTGATTCTTAAGAAGACACTTGCCACGTCTCCTTGAAGATCTACCATTGAATACAAGAAGACAAATGTGGTTTATGCACGACGGAGCCCCTTTTGGAACGTGTGCAGAATGCATGACAGATGATTCGAGGAAACTCTGGAGAGTACGAACGAATTCGTCAGTCTTGTGTACGTCGTGCTCGTGCATGTGTGGAGAAAGGAAAAGAAACCCTTGAGCTTCTGTTTTAAAAAACATCCCTCACCTTGTACTTGGCAATCAAGTCATACATTGAATCTTATTTTTGGCTATTATTTCGAAAATGAAACATTTGCGACCCCGTGTTCATAGGAACATTATTTCTTATTTTTGATCCTGGAACACGGGCACGAAGTTTGTAAACATACTTTTGACTCACCCTGTATAATATGTAGTTAAGTAGCATTGCTTTCGTGAATATGCTTTTTGCAAATGTATTACATTTTGTTCTCCAGCTCAACATAACCTCAATACTTGTTCGAAAAAGTGGAATTTTCTTATGTGTCGAGTAGGGGGTTTGAGGAATTATAAAGTTAAGTTCACCTGTAGTGTTCGTGAGGAATGGAAATCAGTGAAAGTATCGCTAGATTCCAGCAGCATCTCAAACGAGGAAGTTTGTGAATTAACGTGTATGAAGCTGTTTTTACAGTGGCTACATTTTGGCACTGCAATTCCAGCTAATTGTATACAATGACAGAAAAAAACTCAAATTTTAATACAGAATCGTACAAAAGTTTGAATGAAAGACCGACGTTAAACATGAAAGTAATGCGTCTGAAAAAAAAACGAACTAAGGAACGGAACAGAGACAACTTCTGAGAACTCGTGTTTATGAAATATACTTCAGACAACGAGCGATGTCCAAAATATTATCGGCGCTATAAATCAGTTAGGGCCACTTTTTGTACGTTCAACGTGTATACTCCGAGCAGTAGAAAAATACAGTGTACGGTTCAATGCAAGAGTGGCACATTCTTCTAACAACACCCTTAATTAGTAATAGTGGATAAAACATTAGAATCTGACACCAGCTACTTAATGCCTGTATTTCATCTTACCGAAACTACGCAGATGGACATCTATGCTGAGTTCTCATGCCATTAATGCAACCCTCACGAGATTACAAGTCCCCTGTCTGCTGAACTGAGTTACATATGGGATTTCCGTTATAACTTAAACCAACGTGAAGCAGATATTCAGCTGAATTTACATGCGAGATAAACCAACCAGTAAATTTATCTCTAATTAATAATCGGCTGACTGAAAATAAATTTACATAAAGTTATATAATAAAAATAATAATTACGACTGTACATGTAAACGTGGAAGATGGAAATCAGTAGTAACTTTTTACTTTTTTTCAGAAACTTATCCCAGATTCGCACATCTTATACTCATTCTGATATTATAGACGTCTGATTACTATTATCAATAGTTCCCAGCAGACTCCATTACGAAGCAATAATTTTTATATTTTTATCCAGAAATTTAATCCATTCTTTGGAATCAGGTTATCACCGAAAACGTCAGTCGAAACTTTTGATAAAAAAAAACTTTGAAGGGTTCTACTTTAATGTTTAAATGCTCGTAGTTTCCTTATGGTGTCATTTCAATAGTAATCACGTATTTACATTTCTTACTGTATCCCACAAAAAGTGTTCTGAACCTAAATTTTTTACGAAATCTCAAACAGATCAGAACGCTTTAATAAACAACGCCGATTCCACACTATTAATGTTATCTTATTTATATGACGTGCGATAAAATTTTATGTCAGTGAACAATATATTTAGACTACAGGCTATAAATTTTATGTACAAAAACGTACATATATTTGTCACAGCGACCATGTAACGTAAAAGCACTGATAAAATGTTCGATAAAAAGGAACGCAACATGAAATATCTCTGAACAGTAAATACGCTGTACTGAGATTTGACGTTCTAACGAAGGTTATGACGTCGATGTGTCTTCTGGGTTGCGTTTTCCCGAAAAATTACCATCTGCCTGTAAGTCCACACGGCGTCACAACCCAGAAGACCAACATCATGAGGCACAGTCCTTCTATTATTATTATTATTATTAGTGTTCTGTCTGACGACAGGTCCATATGAACAGGATCCTTCCATCCTTTTCTCTTCTCGGACTGGGACCTGTTCATATACGTTCTTGGCAGATGATCCAGAAGTGGTTTGCCATTGCCTTCTTCTGTGTGTGAATGGAGTAATTGTTGGGATGCCACGGAGGAAAACTCCGTGTTGCCTAGACCACGGCCTTGCCCAACACAAGTTATAAATTCGGGCACCGCCGGGAATCGAACCCGAGACCCCAGGATTACAAGGCCAGCGTTCTAACCGCTAGACCACCGTGGCTTGTTGCTCAGAATTACAAGACAAAAATAAATTCTCTAACTGAACGTGTTCTAGACTAGTAACAATAACTTGAGACCTCCATTCTTATAAAGTTTAAGGCCACGAAATAGCGAAACGCGAATGTGGCACAGAATTTGGGCATTCGCTGTTGTCAGAATAAATCTTATCAACCCGGGCAAATATTTTTCAGTGTAGTGTTTATAGCTACAGCATTTCTCGGTGAAAAACGCAGACCCCCCCCCCCCCCATATAATTTAAATCGTCGTCTTTAAATGGTTTAAAAAATAAATTAATATACGGATTAAAAATGCAGTTCTACAGGGACAGATTTTATATAAGTGCATGAATATAATAAGATAACACCGGGGACCGTATAAAAATGTAAGAAAACAATGCCTAGGCCGATCTGATGCAACTCGGACGAGCAATGTCCTAAACGTCCGTGAGAACAAATATGGCTACAGACGACAAATTATTCTACGTAAGAAGGAGTAGATCAGTGACGGGTTTATTGCAACAAAAACTGACAAAGGAAGATTTACGCGAGTAAAAAACAAATGGAATTTGTGGCAAGTTATGCCTGGTGGACACAAATAGGTAAAAACAAGTCGAAAGCAGAAACGAAAGCTATTAGTTTGTTGAGTAAGGCCGAGCAGTTGACCCATCACTCTGTCTACGAAGTGACTTTGCTGTCTTGGTATCAACACTGCTTCGCTGTACAGAGTAACCACAAATTAATGTACAACTCAGAAACAAGGACCTCTGAAACGTCGGTGAACATCTACCAGACTACACGGAGCAAGAATCCAGCTGTACGAATGTTGGACCATTTTTCAAGAGATCGTCCTCGAACATTTAACACGAATAAAACGATGTTTTAATTTACGTGAAAGAAATAGACCGCTTTTAAAAGCTCGAAATGTAATTGAGTGTTTCAAAATACTGTTCAGGAACTAGTTTCAAAATTTAAAAAAGTTGAAGACGAGGAAGATACATCACTCATCAACCACGAACCTTGTTCTGTTTCTCTAAATAATTATTTTTAAGTACTTCAACTAACAGTTTAGAGAAAAACAACAGAGATCCACCTCTAAAATCACGTTTAAATAAGGCATTGCATCCATTCAGTTCTACTGAATATATACATTACAAATGGATTCAGCGTCTCTCTCCGATCCGCTAATAGAAACATTTTGATTTGATGACGGTATCTGACTATTCTATGTCTGATCAAGTTATGAATTGTGTTAGTTATCGGGATCAATTCAACTGATTCTTCGGAACCATTATAATGTGACCAAAAATTTCATAACAGGACACGAAAAACGTTAAGTTCCTACACAGATTAGAGTAAATTCAGACTAATTCAGAATGAATCTATCAAACTTCGTAAAAAAAAAATTGATAAAGTTTTTGTGAATTTGAAAAAAAATCAAAGTATCATGATTAAAATTTTATATATATATATATATATATACAAACAAGATAGTTCTAAACTTTTCAGGCCATTTAACAAATATTGATCGCGGAAAGGCAAATTCGTATGTATTTGAAGATAACGAATAAGATACAATTTTGAATGAATATTCGAAAAATTCCTCCACTTACCAATTTCCTTCACATTCCTGTAACTTTCTCTTCACAAGGCTAACTCCACTGTTTTCCTAAAAATATTACAAATTGTGCAACGCAATTCATAAAACAAGCAACACAGTTAATTTATTACGTAAAACAATTCCCTGAATTGCTATGTTAAGAAAGCCGTCACTAAAGACAGAAAACTTCGTTTTACCAAACACTAAAAGAGCTTAAATCAGCTCACACCCCTGCAAATAATTTACGTCGATTTTTACAAAACGTTCCGTGTGTGTCTCAGTCCCCTACGTTCATTTCAGAACGTACAAGTTAGGCTTTAGACCATCCCCGAACAGACCAGCATCCCTCGTCAATCTAGTAATGATCCACTTTAAAAAAATATTTAAAAGCCCTGACAAAACAGTACATTACATCACATCACACGTCATAATTTAGAGGCTTCATCTCTGACCCTGCATTTGGGGTAAATTTGGCTTAATTTCGTATGTCTGAAAACGCATTTGGGGTAAAGGTATTTGGCTTAATTTCGTATGTCTGAAAAATCTCGTAGTCAAAAGCCACAAGGAGGTTTAGCAGCAACTGAGAGACAGTACACTTGTGCCACTTTTAGATTCACGTCACTTCATTCACGCTCCAGAGACAGCAACGGCGCGGAGCTGTGTAAGACAACCAAATAAAGAAAATGAAAGTGTAATTGTTCGCCGACGTATAAAAATGTAGTGAACACAGAGTTCGGGTTGATTCGAAATCTACTTCTTGCAGGGAAGCTAATGACTGCTTTCAGAACATGAGCAGATCATTCTGGGTACTTTGGGTGAGTATTTGGCTATTAGCGACTATCATGAGATTTTCTGGTGACATCTACATAGAATAAAGATTAGGCCATGGAATTAACTCTGCATCAAAATGATAACTTAGTAGGATTTGAGGTCTGAAGATGGCTGTCTTCTGGGTTGTCGCGCCGTGTAATCTGGTAGAAGTTTATCATCACCCTGGTGATTGAGGTAGCAAGGGCCTCTGAAACGTCGGTAAACATCTACCAGACTGTACACGGCGCGACAACCCAGAAGACAGCCATCTTCATTTATTACAATGCTGGTTGGATGTTGTTGTTTTCGTTGGATGTCTTAATCAAAACTTCTCTTTTCAGCCACTGATGATGTCTGTGGGACTGGCCATCAGAGTTTACCCTCAGAGACTACCCGGTTTGCCATTGACGACTGCAGTAAACAAACTCCCTCTGTTTGCACCAACACCAAATCCACGCTCACAGCCTCCAGCTGCAGAAGGCGCCAAACTCCAATTCGAATTGTTGCCAACACCACAAGCCCAGGTTCAGGTGCCAGCCACTTCGGGTGTCCGACACCCAGCGCCATATCTTCTTCCAACACCTCAGGCTTCAGCATCGGCACGTGTCAGCCATGTACCTCAACCATTCAGCCGGATTCCAGTAGATCGATCTCCATCCTCGGCTGCTACACATCCTCAATCTCAGATTCGTAGATCTCCAGGTGTTCGGAATCCCCGACTGCCTGGACTGGTAGCTGTGGCTACAACACATCCTCAATCTCAGATTCTACCATCCAAAGGTGTGAAGTCTGTCCTGCAGGCTCCGTTACTAGGAGGTGTTCAGCATTCCAGCTTGCCGGGACTCGCGTCGTCACACATTCATGTCCCCGTGGCAGAGATCGATCAGAAGTTTGCAGCTACCGGTAAGTGTCCTTTCTCTTCCTACGAATCCCATAAACAGTTTCCTCGGCTTCGTATATGATATAAAATCTAAAACTTCTTGACGATGGTGAAGAGTCAATTGAATAAAAATTTTCTTGGATATTATCCATCGTCTAGTAAATATAAAACGTAAAAAACGACGTTTCGGAGATGGGACTCTATCTCCGTCTTCAGGTTCCTACACAGTTGGGCCCACTCGATAGAGCTAATCCCTATCTCCGGACCGGAGATGGATAATATATAATTTTTATTCAATTCGTATTATATTTTGACATTTCTTGAGCCGGTAACATTAATAACCAAAATAAAAGCTTCCTACAACTTCGCTTTGCAGACACATACAAAAATATCAATAAACCATCAGCATCGTAACCATCGTAAATGTTTCCAAGCTTAGACACTCATGTCTTTATTAAGAGCTTCGATCTTACGAAATTACGTCACAGTGGCCTATTTTAATCTATCTCAGCATCCGCTGGAGAGACTGACAAAAACCACAAAACCCTCATGCAGGTCTTTGAGCCGAGATTTGAACTAGAGACTTCCGAATACGAAACAGAAGTGCTAACCACTCGAAATGGCGCTCAGTTCCCCAGAAAAGCTTAGCTATGCAGCTTAATGTATGAAGGTTGCATGCACTGGTCTTTGAAGAAGGCTGATACGTGCGAATTGTATGCACGTAGTGGTATTTAACTTTTAGAAATATTAATAAAGATCAAATACACTTGATTGTCCCATTATGCCGATTAATAGTTACTGAAACGAACCAAATTGTTCATACCCATGCAATGCGTGTCCCAGGGACAGCGCAGCGGTCCAATGGCGCTAGGGATGTTTGTCAATGTCCGGTTGGAGATCCAGGCGAAATCTCGGGTTACGACCTTCCAAGTGATTCTGACATATTCCTAAGGGATGCAATGCTTCATAATTAATTTGAAGCCCCGAACGAGACAGAGGACCTAATCGGCGTTTCTTAAATGAAATATGTGAATCAACTGTACGTAATTTGAAATACCGATTGTCACTTCCAACCCCTTTATGTTATTATTAAGTACACGAGTTCATAAAACGCCACTGTATTTGATTTTCACAGTTTCCTCAAGAGAAAGTTTATCTAGAAATCCGAATACATCTTCAGTAATTACTGCTCCTGTAAACTTAATACACAAGGCCATGAAAGATTACCAATTCCATACGCCTTAAAGAAACATAACACATGTTCTTACATGTTTCAGGAGTAATTTTACAAGTAGGATTTGAGGTTTTCACGGCGGTGAGTCTGAAGATTGCTGACTTCTGGGTTGTTGCACCGTGTAGCCTGGTAGAAGTTTATCAACGTTTCAGAGGTCATACTGCCTCCCTCATCAAGGCGATGATGGCCCTGATGATGGAGGCAGTGAGGACCTCTGAAACGTCGGTAAACTTCCACCAGGCTACACGGTGCAACAACCCAGAAGACAGCAATCTTCAGAATTTTTACACTAACCACCGAACGAGAGTAAGCAAAAATATATCGGTTCTGCATAATGTTCTGGGCAAAGAACCTTTGTGGCTGACGGGGCAGGCTCTAAAACGGACCGAGTGTCTCATGAAGAATTAATGTTCTCAGCTGGCGACAAGACAGCAGATTCTAAACAGGGTCACCACAGCCATCATTCATCCAAAGCACATGAGGCCAGCAAAGGTCACCAGAGCGCAGGGGGGCACAAATCACATGGAGGTCACAAAGAATCCAAAGGTCACGAGAGCAGCGACGGCCATAAATCGGTCCACGATCATTATTCCGGGGAGAAGGGCGAAAAAGGAAAGCAGGAACACGTGAAGGAGTCGGAGGAGAAGGGGGGCAAACACAAATCTCACCATGAAGAGGATTCTCATGGGGCGGAGCACGACGAGAAAGAGGAAGGGAGTCACGGGGCAAAGCACAAGGAGCACGACAAGTACAAGAAGACGGAATTCAGTAAGGTAAGCGCAGGAACGCACAGACCTACGAGAAGGCTCCTAAAAAACTGCATTAATGATACGACGCCCGCCGTCTATATCGAAAAAAAGGTCAGACTTATTCTCCAGTGGATAGAAAGAGGCAAAATAATCTCGACGAGCGATATTCTGAATCAGTGGCTTTGAATACATGAAAGAGATCCAAAATCTTAATGGACGGCGGACTAATTACTCAACAAAAGCTATCAATATGCTTACATATACACACACGCATATAATCAACATGTAACATGATTGGGCACGTGTCAAATATAAACCACCGGGCAATAAATTAAATAAGGATTCCAAATCTAAGTCATCGCCCTGATAATGGATGCAGCAAGGACCTCTGAAACGTCGGCAAACTTCTACCGGACTGAATTCCTTCCTTTTAGTTATTGTAGTGAATGAGAATTATTCACATAAACGTAAAGTGGATTCCCCTGTAACGCGTGTAATATTCTATCACACAAAGTTCAAGGTCACGTTCATAAAAACCACAAAACATCCAAAATTGTCCATAATTATTGCCTTAATTATTATTATTATTATTATTATTATTATTATTTAGTGTTCTGTCTGACGACAGGTCCATATGAACAGGATCCTTCCATCCTTTTCTCGGACTGGGACCTGTTCATATACGTTCTTGGCAGATGATCCAGAAGTGGTTTGCCATTGCCTTCTTCTGTGTGAATGGAGTAATTGTTGGGATGCCACGGAGGAAAACTCCGTGTTGCCTAGACCACGGCCTTGCCCAACACAAGTTATAAATTAGGGCACCGCCGGGAATCGAACCCGAGACCCTGCCTTAATAATTAAAATTATCTGAATCTTGAAAAGCATGAATTCGAGTGAATTAGAGATTTTTTTTAAAAAAAATACGTTCTAATCTCATAAGGACTTCCATAATGCAATATTTACCCATATCAGAACTGAGACAGGGTTTAAAGTGATTGTTCGACTTGGTTCTGACAGGGATTCCGTGATAAGTACCACAAGGACGAGTACCACAAGATGGACAAATACTGGAGCAATCAGCAGGAGAGCGGGAAGTTCAACAAATACGGGGAACACGGCGAGCACTACCACAAACACGAGGACAAGGCCCACAAGGTCGGAAAACACGCTGTGAGTACACTCATTCTTCCACCACTGTCAGAGAGAATTACTTCCGCCTTCTGCTGAGATTACCAATCCACGGGCAATTGCTTCTCAGAGTGGGACGACGCCGTGTAACTCTGGCAAGGTCTCTTGCCCAAGCTCCGAGTAACGCAAAGGATGACAGGAGACGGTAATGATATTTCTGGCGTACTTAGAAATCCACGAAGTCTCATCGAGTCTTGCACCGGGATTCAAGCCCTAGATCTTCCAAATTTGGAGCAAGACTGCGAAGATCGATTCTACGCCGGACTTCGTCGGCTAGTCAGACGGAATCAATTGTTTCTGTGCGCCAGTTCAACTCTTCCTCGTACCAATTACAACAAACTAGGCGGACAGACACGCAGACAGCATGACGCCGTCAATTTGTCTTTTGTTTCACGCATTAGGCCCGAAATGAGTAGTCCAAGAAGTAATTTGCGACCTCCACTTTCCTTCAAATTACATAAAATAGCCAAACCTCTTTTCTCCCAAACAAAAACCCCCTAAATATAAACTTTCAATTTCTGAAATCTAATCGGATATAAAATGTTCGCATTTTCGCCATATTAGTACTTTGCGTAATACAAACAAGTTTCCCCGCATCATTAGTGGGCTCGTCCGTCATCTACCACCACCACAAAGTTTAATATCCCTAATTTTCAAATGATTCTCAATCAACATCACCAAACTGGAAAAAACAAAATACGTATTTACATTTCGACACATAACAGTTTTAACAGCAGTTCAGTATTTTAACGTTAGGTTAGGTTACACTTGATTTAGCTAGGGAACTCGCATTGTGGAGTCATTATTATTCTGTGTGAGTCCACGCGAAATGAAAAATGAATCATTGGAACAGCACGAAATGACATGGTATTCAAACCAACATTCACGAATACTGGTTTAAAAAAAACCAAAGGTATCACGTAGGACACGAACCTGTTAAGCCAGATTTAAGTACGCTTCTTTACAGAACAAGTAAGGAAATGTATTAATTTTCCCAATCGATAACGTTATCTAAGGATATAGAATATAGTCCAGATTATCCGACCTAAACGGGGATCGAAGGGTGTCGGATAATACAAAAGGGTAATGAAAAAAAGACGGTGATACATATCAACTGAAGTTATAACTCGATTTACGATATTATTAAATTACGAATAAATTTCAATACTGCATCAAACGAAATAAATCTCACAGACAAAACTTCGTTCAACATAATATAAATGTGTAAATGAACGATGTTTTTTTAAAATTAGTATTTAGTTTATAATTATAAATATGGCGACGTCGTTAAACTTCGGGGTCATGTCATAAATTTAACATAGTCGATATTTGAAAGGGAAACAGGTTTCATAAGATACGTTAACCTTTTAAACTTTGCCTTATGAATGGAAGAATCTAATCGTGGTATCTAAGTTGCAACTCAGTGTGTGACAAATTATTTCTAAGATATTTGCTATTCTACTCTACAAATCTATCCAACATTATCACTACATTGCAGAAACACAGCTTAGTGCAATTACACTGTTTTTCGATCTGTGGCACACGGTTTCAGATGAGAGAATAATTTCACTGTACAGCCAATGTTTAAAAATTATATCACGCTACGTAGAATCGACCTCCTCCACTTTTATGTCTCAGTCCAATATTGCACCGTACGACAATTCTTTGAAGCCAAAGTTTATCTAAATAACATTTAAAAATTCAGTCCGTACCTCAAAGAAAACACGACACTTCATCATTACAAAGATCGACTGGTTAACGCTGTTTAAGTCAAAGCTCGTCCAAATATTACGTATTTAAGGATTCAGTCCGTACCTCAAAGAAAACACAACTCTCCACCATTACAAAGATCGACTGGTTAACCCTTTGAAGTCAAAGCTCGTCTAAATATTACGTATTTAAGAATTCAGTCCGTACCGCGAAGTAAACACAACTCTTCACCATTAGAAAGATCAACTGATTAACGCTGTTTAAAGAGATAATCGCTGTTTACAGTAAGAATCATATGGAACCCATAAACACAAAATACAGAGGTATTGATAGTTAAGGTAGGTGGTACATATAGTTACCACTTGCCTTAGAGGGTCAAACACATTCCAAATATGAATATGTACAAGCTACGATCGTATGTGATAGTTTTGGTCTTGTGCAGCAATTAGTTAGTTTCAGTAAACAATTTCCACTGTTAAATACGAGGTTCTCAAGGCGATGCAAAATTTCGATGTTGGTATTCTGTTCTGTAACACCGCCTTGTGGACTTGTAGGTGGATACCAGCGTTTTGAAAGGACATACTGCCTCAACTTTTATCCCTGAAGATGGAGGCAGTTTGAATCGCCGTGATATACCCACCAATTCCACGTGGAGTTACAACGCAGAAGGTCAATATTGAGCAACTGAATTTTTTATAAGAGTGCGTGATTAATTCCAATTTTATTTGTACAGGAGGGATCGAAAGAAGAGAAACACGGTAAGAAAGGGGAGTATGCCAAGGGACACAAGGCCTCAGAGCAGAAGGGTCACGAGGGACACCACGGCAAGGAGAAACAACACAGTCATCAGAGCAGCCATGGCAAGAAATCTGGCCACAAAAATCAACAGCAGAATCACCAGGCTCAGAAACTGAAACAATAACATCTCTGGAAATGCAACCAATCGCGATAATTTCCCATTATTATTCCTCAATCAAAGTGTTGATCGTTAATCAGAACGCGTCCATTCGCACAAATACACTGTTAAACAATTTGTACGGCTGGACCTGACATGAGAGGAATCTTACAGCTTTCGCCGGACTACGTTGTGCAAGTATTGTGCTGTATTCGTGAAATGTCTGCAGCGTCCGAGACCTTCCCGTTATGACTACTGACTGGAACAGACTCTAAAATGACGCATACCTCCAGAGAGTCGCAACTTTACCAAACATCTTAGATCTTTCAAAAGAAATAATCGAGTAGATACATTACATGTACAATTAAAATTGCCACTGATATACAGAACAGTAAAAGTAACTATGTAACTGACGCTGACCACTAACCCCATCTAGTGCCGAGGTTAAGAATCAGTAGGAGCTATACCATCTCTCCCCCCAAGCGCCTATATGGCGTACAGAGGGACATTTTACTTTTTCTCTACTTTTACTGATAAATAACAGAAAATACAATGACGAGGCAAAATTTTGTCCTTACTGCATTACGCGTACAGAAATTCCGTCAAAAGGAGGTCTTACTAGATCACAAGACATTTTGTTGACATACGTACAGTAAAGTGCAGACTGAAAATTAGCATGTCTTTTGGGTGATTTTAATTATTAAGTAGGCTAATTAAAATAACGTATTTTTTTTCCTTGTATTTGAAAGATTCTGTCAAAAGAAGTCGATTGCTTGGCGAGTGTTCTAAGATGGAAGGGCTGTATGATTTTAATTCAAACAGGAATATCTTTGAATATTAACTGATAAACTGTCTCCTCACAGTCACTTACGAGTAGGAAAGAACGTAACAGATAAACATAACCGAGTAAATAATAACAATAACAGTTCTTAGTCAGAACGTTAACAGCTGTTCGTCTGGCGAAGTAACTCCCTGCCTTTTATGCAACCCCCAACGTACACTGTCATGTTCACAAGAGCCCACAGATTCAGCTGAATCAAGTACAGGACCTATTTTAGATCTATCTTAATATTATCCGATCTACGCTCAGGTCTCGAATGGTTCCTTCCCTTCAAGTTTTCAGACGAAAATTGTGTATATAGACCTAAATCACTGCGCATCTCCCCAATGCGTTCTCCATGTCTCGCCCATCTCGTAAATTTTTATACGGTCATCTCAACAATATTCAGTGATGGAAGAACTTTCTCTCATATTAAAATATTCTTGGCAATTTTTTCCAGACCAATTCAATATGTGTTCTTTCTCCAGGCTCAGATATCAAAATTAAGACTCATGTAACTCGGCAGAATAAAACTATTTTTAGTATAATATTTATGTATTTTTACATACGAGACGATAACATAACACAGGGTGTCATAATTTAACATTCAAATTACGATTGGCTTCTATTTTAATATTACTCTCGCCAAAATACCGAAGATCGAAGCAGGTTCTCACGGTGGCGAAAATTTGAACTGTGGTCTCCTAGGTTACGCAGCCATGTACCTGAAGATGGAGGCAATGGTTACTCAGAAACGTCGGTAACCTCCTACAATAATACACTGCTTCATAACTCAGAATAACACATTCGAAAACTGATTAATTACTTATCTGCATTTTAGTGGCGACACATAAATACAAACTTAGTAAAAATAAATAAAAAAATTAAGAACGCTACCCTTCGAGAAATGGAAATTAGTTGCAAAGTTCAATAAATGTTTATTTTTTTAATTTATTGTAACTATAATAACCCTTTCCAGTGTATTACAAAAAACTGCGTTTTCAAAGTTTTCTCGGTAAGAGAAAACGTTCACAGCAATGTACAGAGCGCTTCACAATCGGTCCTCCAAATACCAGGGGCTGATTCAAAAGATGACTTCGGATTAAACAACATTGGTCCCGTTGAGGAGCTATTGCGGTTTCAATGTGCGCGCAGGGAAAATAAAACCACACAAGCCACTTTGTTCCAATCAAAAATATTTTTCGCGTTTCGTTATTTTGGGGGCATTCTCGTATGTACGTAGATATTTGTTGTCTGCCCATCTTAAAACGTCCATAGCTCCGTAACGGTTGGAAACAGGACCAATGTCGCAAAAACACATTTTCTAGAAATTCTCTCCCGAATCTTCCATCCCCTCTTCCCGACGAAGGGAGGGAACAGCGGTTGTAAAACACCCTGTATAAGCGGTGAGTTTACCGACGTTTCAAACGTCCTTGCTGCCTCTTCCAACTCATCGACCATGATGATGGCAGCAAGGACCTCCGAAACGTCGGTAACCTTCTACCAGACAACACGGCGCTACAGCCATTTTATTAAACACGGCTACTGCACAGGAATGTTATCTTTGAATCGAATGAGTGACGAGCGAGGCGAAGGGTCAGAACGGAAGTGGGTTCTTGTACGAGTCTGGTAGAAAACATCAGCTCCGCTCCGATTCTTCGAGTGATTTTGCTCGTAGTTTCGCGTGCGGTGAAACACGTCATTTCTAACACCAACGCAAGGTTAGGTTCAACAAAGTAATTCACAGCAAATACGCAGAGACAGATCGTTAATAACATCGGTAAGCTCTGCCAATGTTTTCTTATCAGCTAGTAGAACGTTTGATCTCGTGACCTTGAAGCGACCTGACAAACCAAATTTCAATTTGGTAATCAACTCTCGCGTACAGTACCTTATTTTGAGATTCTGTGTTATGTTAATTTATTATCTTAACTGTATTTCTCATCCTGTCTTTACAATATTCATTAAAACTTTTAATTTATTGAAACCAGGAGAGATACATTCATGATTCCCGTTATCTCTGGCTAAATTCCTGTGTCTTCTGCGACAATTCAGACGAATTTCTCGAGGTAATGGTCACTTCCTCTCAGTTCTTCCTGCCAAACATTTGTCTCAATAAAAAAACGTGAATATAACTTTTAAATGTCGTATTTGTGTCTCAAGTTCTTCATTCTCTTTTTACGACGATCCACTTGAGACTAGGAATATAGAAAAGTTGAATAAAAAATGTTAAAAGATGTCATTTTATATATAATATTCAAGATCTGATTTAACACTAATCGACAGTCAATTCAGGATATATCGGAATTAATTAAAGGTAGGGTATCCTGTGATAAATCTTAAAAACTACTGCCCGATTCAAATACAATTTTCGTTCTAAAGTTTCGTAAAACATAAGTCTGATTTTCAAGTTCAACCAAGCCGTAGGTAGCGTTCTGATGTCACGTGGTAACCATCGCTTCGTTTAGACGTAAAAAGTTAGCAGAAGGCGACATTACTAAACTCTTTCCGCAGTTTCTGAACCTTAAGATGGAAAAAATGACAAAGTAAGACAACAAAATAAAATTAAAACATTTGTTATGCATTTAATTATAGGATTAATGATAAAACTGTAAATTTATAAATTAGGCAGACGTCTGAGTAATGCTTCAAAGCAGACGCTACGCATTCAGCGTCAACAAAACACAGAATTATTAATCATAACTTAAGTATATGGAGCAATTCTGTTTTATAACAATTTAGAAGAAGCATCTTTTCACTTGTAGCAATTATTAGTCGAACGGCTAGTAGACAACATATATTTTCTCTGCAAAGACTACGCATGGAACGTATAACTAAACTGAAAATCGATTATCCAATCGATACAATAAACTGACAGTGGAAAAGCTTGTGTTGTCAGTGTACGTACCATGAATTATAAATGGAGGCCATAGGCTGTCACGGCGTTGTTAATAAAGTGGACTCGGACCTAGTTTTTCTTTGTGTGTAACGATTCCAACATGAAGGTCAGCCATGTTTCCAATGCAAATGGACGTTTATATCATTCATTACACTTCATTCTACTTCGCTAGATTTTATTACGTGTTTTGTATACACCTTTCTAAATGTACAGATGTACAATTTTAGAGAGAAATTCGTCCTGACTTAACTTTTGGTTTAGATAAGTTAACATCACGGCCTTTCCTTACAGAGAAAAATTACGAAAAAGTTTAAGAGCATTCCCATGAAGGATTCACGGGTAATCCTAGACGCTTAGGAACTCGATGCAGATATTAAAGTAGCCTAATCTGTTTTTAGACACATAACGGGCGTTAATCCAATCATTCGTCCACAGAAATCCATTTACAGTACCGGACGATAATCAGTTACATATAACTGATTACTCCTGGATGTGATAATAAAGACATTTCATAAATATTCCTGGCTACCAGAAATACGATCGGAGAGTAATGGAGATTCTCACAGAGATAACACTGAAGAAATTTGCATATCCACTGGAATCTTATAAATATGCATTATGAGAGTTTGGATTGGATTAAAGCGGCTTAGGATATCTACTGGCGGGTGCTTGTGGATAAGGTTCCACAAAAGTGGGGTATTACTTCAGCAACTGGAAAGAACATAAACTTTCCAAGAAGGTTCCAAAGTTTAAGTTCGATTTTGATTAATTTTAATTTACACAACCGAACAATATTAACATTACAATTTATTTAATACTCCGCCTACTGACTTTAGGCATTGCTGGTGACAGATACACTGCATGTATTTTTTTTTATTCGAGATTGTAATTACGACTTATGTATCTGCGCGTATGCTATGGACAAACAGTGGTTCGTGACCTGCGCACTTGCCATGGAGACCGCGAAGTCGTGACGCACGCAAGGCACCCTTGCAATCTGTAATCACTCCCGTTGCGGTGACGGAAACTTCGCCGACTTGAAACGCACTCACAATCATGGATGGTGTACAATAAAAGTTAATTAAAGCCGTGTAACTATCAGAGGAAAACAGTTCAGTGAATCAGACAGGAAACCGAGTTACACAGTAGCTGAGTGAGTACGTGGCCAGTACTTTACATTTTATTGACGAATAACATTTCCAGGAACGCTGTTACAGAGGAGTTCGTAAGTATGATGGTTAATTTCAATTAAGGTAACATCTCCACAAAATTTCACGAGGATTTATCAAATAATATTTATACTTTTATTAGATTACAAACGTCTGTACGATTACAGCTCGATGTTCAGTGGTAAAAGCCATTGCATTTTCTTACCCCACACGAATCTTACCTCAATGCGTGTGCGTAGACAAGAATAAATTTCGCTCAAAGTAAATTTAAATTTTGGCCACCACAATGTACACTGATGTTTAATATGCAAGATGTAGACCTACTGCAGAATTATACCACTCAGGTGACATGTTACTAAATCGACATTCTTCTCAAGTCGATATCTGCGTCTAGTGCCTTGGTAGTCGCCTATCTGTTCTTACAGTACCACAATTATTAGTGTTTGAAAATTCAACATGGATTTTATAATTCAATTTACAAATACAATTAAATGTCTTAATCGTCTGTTACACTTTTGGGTTTATTTTCATCCGAAGGTTTGCTGATGTCCACAATTGAGTTTTTATTTAAAATCACGTGTTAGGTTTGTTAGAAACAGCTGTCTTGTTGGCAATGGAGTCCCAGTTGAGTGTAGGCCTATTTATATTCATGATTACTGTCATCAGCATCATCAACTCGACGCGGCAGGTTCCTCCTTTATAAACTTACCGGCCTACACGTAGAAGCCCACAACTGGACCCTATCCTCAGCCAGATGAATACAGTCCATACCCTGAGACCCAATTCCAAGATCAATTTTAATAATATCCCCCATCTTCCTCTCGTTATTTTTAAATGGTCTCTTCACTTCACAATTTTCTAACATTTCTTATAGCTTTGGTGCATGCTGCATGCCCAACCATCTCATCTTCTTTAATTTGGTCGTTATAATATTTGGTGAAGACTACGTCTACAAATTATAAAGCTCGCTAATATATAACTGATACATCACCGCCATTAATATCATCACTGTTGTTGAATCAACGCGAATAAATAAATAAATAAACAAAAATTATTATCCTTATTAATATTATTATTTTTATTACAGATAAATTAAATGAACTGAGTTTTGTTATCATTGTAACTGTCATTACCGTAGTGCGGGGAAGAAACATGCCACTTACTACTACGTGCGAATGCAAACGTATTTGCACCGAGATCAAAAGTTTTCAATACCGTTAAAGCCATATGTTGAATTTACCTGATTCTATTACAATTACTTGGAGCGAGTCATAAATTCTCATAGTTCATCCGATTAGCACCATCTGCGTAATCTTCACTCTGCTAATAAAACTGGCATGATTTTGTCTTAAGCCGTCCTAGGAAACCATATATGTTACTGCCGAATTATTTGTTTAAAACTACATCTAATGGTAATATCATATCTGGGCTTCATTTTCTAAATTTTATCGTCATTGTGTTAACATCAGATTAAATTCGAGGAGACCATGATGGCCCAATCAGTTATTATCACGATATTCGCCTTAGGATACCCAGGAAAACCTTTATTCGAACCAGCTACCTCTTAAGTTACAAATCCATAGCAGTTCCACTTTGTCATCCTGTTCAACCACAGGGAAGTAACCATCTTCCATGCAAATTCTTTTAATAATGTATTCTGTATATTTCGAATTATGGTTATTAGCGTCTGTACTGAATCAACATGCATAGATTTCCTCAATAAATAACAGCAATCAGTCTTAATTCTCCTTCTAAACACGTAGACTGAATTTCGATAACACCTCGTATAGGCGGGAGGAAGGCATATTATCTTCAGAGACCTTGCCCGTTTAGAAAATTACACACCGGGCATTTGGCTTATGAATTATTGGTCCCGTGGAACGTTACGTTAAAGCCAGTGGCTTTGAAAACTTAATCGTGGGGAACTAACATCAGGAACCGAAATTTATATGAAAGGGACTAGAAAATTACATCGGAGTGAGTACCAGTGGCCATGACAGCTGTCCTTCGACTGAGAGGCGTAGTTTCTCTAATAAGGATGCGTTCGGAAGTATTGAATTAACTACACATGATCATGTACTGAAACGATTTACTTCTAACATTAATATTATTTCAATATTAATAACTAACTACCTCTAAGAAGAGTTCAAATTCTACGTAAAACAAACCACTGAGTTAAACAATTTTATACAAAGAATCCTTAACTCAAAAGCATCGAGGCAACAAATTTGGCCTTATTTAATTAGAAAAACCGAAATGTTTACTAATTTCATTAACTTTTGTTAATGACCTTATTAATACCAGTCACGAATATTTGAGGCCAACGGGGTGAAACTCGAGGATTACCGACGTTTCAGAGCTCCTGCTGCCTCCATCATCAGGGAGATAATGTAGGCAGCAAGGACCTCTGAAACGTCGATAAACTTCTACCAGACTACACAGCCATCTTCAGAGTCACCGCCGTCGAGAACCTCAAATCCTACAGAGTGAAACTCTCCAAATACACGAGCCCTATACAATGTAATACAAAGTGCGTATTCTCTGCAAGAGAGAAATTAAAGAATACAAGACACGTAGAGTAATGGAAAAAAATATCTTTTTATATATTTATTAAAACCAGTAGATAAACTATGCAAAGCCGCTCACTTATTAAAAAAAAGTAATCAACTTTTGATTCAAACATATGTCCAACATTTACGTAAGTTTCAGGAAATAAAAACCATATTTTATTCCTGTCCGTAGAATCTGACTGGCGATCCTTCAAACAATTATTGTTTCATAATAATGTGTCAGAACGCTGGCCTTGTAATCCTGGGGTCTCGGGTTCGATTCCCGGCGGTGCCCGAATTTATAACTTGTGTTGGGCAAGGCCGTGGTCTAGGCAACACGGAGTTTTCCTCCGTGGCATCCCAACAATTA